ATTTTTTGTTGCAGTATCAATTTTTTTGTTAAATTTTTGACTGTAGTATCAATTTTTTTATCAAATTTTTGGCCATAGTATATAAAAAAATTTTTTGTCACTGTATACAAAAAATTTTTTGTCACAATATTATCTGATTTTGTGCTGAATTTTTTTTTTACAGTATACTAATATTTTTAATGCTGAGTAGTAGCAATCGTAAATAATTTATCAATTTTTTTATTATTAATTTTTGTCAAATTCGACAATAATTTGGCAGCTGAATGACACAATTTTGACTAGTGCATATATTAGATAGTTCATGAGGTCTAGGAGGTCTAGGAAATTTAAGTAATATATTTTTACAAGTATATAAGTAGTTATAATTTACTCAAAAGTAAAATAAGTTGAAATATAATTTCACTTGACTTTAGAAGTTTAGATATAACTTCATTTTAATTTCTTGAAAATTGAATATCCTTTTTTGATTTTAAGACTAAATAAATTATCTTAGTTTTATTGATTTATTAATAAACTTGAGTTCTAAGCAAACTATATTTCTTGTGAAATACTGTGTAACATTATTTGAAGGATTTTTGATGAATCTATTCTTAAATATTTCTTTAATTATTATAAATTACTTTTTTAATTCTTTTTTTGAGAATTGTTTTTTTAAAAGCAATTTCACTTGGATACACTAGCTAAATATAAATTTGGTTATAATATTTTATATTTATACTATCTTTATATATTAATTTTTAATGAATAATTAAGAAAAGTATGAATAATTAAAAACATATAATTGCTTATTGAATAAAGATCTAATAAAGTTGCTAAATATTAGAATGAATTAATAAATATAATTAAGAAACAAAGATTAATTTACTTGAAAAAAGTAAAATTAATTTGAAAAATCTTATTAAAAAAGAATATATCAAATAATTATAATATTAATTATAATTACTTATAGTTAAAAGATTTATTAAAATATTTAAATAAATATTTAAAATCAATTCAAATATTTCAGCAAACTTATAAATAATATCATGATAATTCATATTTCTATAATATGATACTACTAGAAGGCTTGTTAAATTGGGTATACAGTTTTAAAGAGATTTTAAACATGAATAAAAAAAAAAAGTCAGGAAATGATAAAAAATTGACTATTAAATTCAAAAAATAAAAAATTATCAAATATAAGAAATCATTAATGTATTTAAAGAATAAAAAACAAATTGAAAAAAGTAAACAAATAGAGAACAGTCAAAAAGTTGAAAGAAAAAGTAAAAAATTTCAAAAAACATTTGATAAAATAAAATCAATTGTGACTAGTTTTAAAAGAGTCAAGCTGAAATTTTTAAAAGAAAAAGAAAAATAAGTGAAAGAGAAAAAAGATAAAGAAAAAGTAATGAATAGTTTAATCAATTGATTTTGTAATTTTTTGTAATTTTTTAATAAATTTTATAAAATTTGTTAAACTTCCTAAATATTTATTGAATTTTAATACTGAATTTATAACTTTTATCAAATTTTTTGTTATAATATACAAATTTTTTATCAAATTTTTGTCATAGTATCAAATATTTTGTCACGATATCAATTTTTTCATTAAATTTTTTGTCATTTTTATTGAAGTATATAAATTTTTTGATCACTATATAAAATTTTTTTCATAATATTATTGAATTTTATGCTAAATTTTTTTCACAATATATTAAAAAAATTTTTGCTGATTTTTTTGCTAATATTTTTAATGTCAAGTTGCAATAATTGAAAATAATTTATCAATATTTTTATTATTATATTTTATTAAATTCAGCAATAATTCAGCTATTAAATAATATAATTTTGATTAGTATTACATTAAAATAATTTAAAAACAAAGTTAACCTTCTTTTAAAAAGGTTAATTGATTAAAATAATTTTTTTGTTTTATTTAAATCACAAAAAAATTCTTTTTTTTTATTATTTACAATATTAGATAAGTCAATTTAACTTTATTTAATAAGTACTAAATTCAAATATTTCAAGAAAAGTATTTAGATCTTAGCTTTTATTTATTAAAGTTTTATTATCATCTAAAAAACTTAAGTAAGAAATATATTATTCATCTTTTGATATTTTATGAATATTTTTATTAAGAAATATTAGTTTTTAAAAAATAAATATTTTTAAAATATTCTTTTTAATCACTAATAATAATAATAAAATATGTAAGTATAACTAATAAGAGCTTGTTTATATTTTGAAAATTAATATGTTTTATATCAATAAATTATTTTTAATAAGAATTTGTATTATTCAAAATTTAGAATCAAATCAAAGTGAATAAAATTTTTTAGAAAATTATAAAAATAAGAGCTTTAAGAAGATTAAAATAATTAAAAAGAAAAAAAACAAGTCTTTTTATTATATAAAATCTCTATAAACTTCTTATTTCAAAATTTAAAAAGATCTTTAAATACTTTATAATCAGTTTTTTTTTTTTTAAACTTTATTTTTATTGATATTAAAATTATTACTTGACTTTGCTGATTCTTAAAAGTTAAGTTTTTGAATAAAAAGATTTATAAATAATAGGAAAAGAGTAAAGATAACTTTTGAAGTCATATTTTAAATTATTTTAAAGAAAATATTAAGATTTTATTAACAAAGAAGTATAAAAACTTCTTATGATTATCTTTTTTATATATATTCTGAAAATTAGTAAAAAAGTCTTTTTAATATTCCTTTTATAATATAATTATAAATTTTTATAATATTAAAAAATAAATAAAAGATATATAATATAATATTTTTATTTTTTGTTAAATTTTTTAAATAATAAAAAAAGTTTTTTTTTAAAAAAAGTTAAGATTTTTTAATTTTTATTTTAATTAAATTAAGTTAAAACATTATTAATATTATTATTTCAATCAGATTATAAGTTTAAGTTTTATAAGTAAAAGATATAAAATAAAATTTTTTATTCAAAGAACTTAAAAAAATAATAAGTTTTTTTAGATAATGTCTAGTTATAATAGTCATAAATGAGTTTTTTAAATAAATTAAAATTAAAAAATATTTTAATTTAACAAATCCTTTTTAAAAAAAGATTGTTTAATTAAATAAAAATATTTTGAAGATACTTTAAATTATTATTATTATTATTTCTCTTTTTTAATATATTAATTTAATAATTTATTATTTTTTGAAATAATTTATAATATTAAACTATTGATAAAAACTCCAGTAAATAAAGATTTTAGTATCAATGTATCAGAAGAATAAAATTAAATAGTTAATATAATATTATAAATATTTATTAAAAAAAATTTTTTTAATATTATTTTTTTAATTAAAAAAATAATTAATCATAATTGCATAATTATAAATTAAAAAAAAAAATAATTATAATTATAATAATAACATTTATAAATAATTTGATTCTTTCTTGTATAATTCAATCTTAATAATTTAGTAATTGATTTTGATATTAGACATTAGTAATAAATTAATAAATTACAAATGATGTTTTGGCTATATAATAAAATAAAATTTGATACCTTACAATTTGGTTGTGATTAAAAAAAAAAAAAAAAACTTTTTTTTTTATAAATATTTGCTATTATTATTAAATTATAAATAAAAATTTTATCATTTGTGATTATTATAAAAGCAGCAGATAGTATTCAAAAAATTACTTATTTAAATAATTTTAATATTTCATAATAGAACCATATAATGACTCTTGATGCTAACTACCGGTAATTGTTTTTAAAAAGAATGTTGTTTAAAGATCATCCTCTGTTAAGATATTACACTAACTTCTTATAGGCACCAGCATTTATATCACCTTGTAGCGTTATATGACGGTGAACATGTTATGTTTTCTTGGTAATACGGTACCGAAAAAAATAAATAGATTTTCACATTATCGCGCTTATATTAGGACTAAATTATTTGGTCGTATATTATATTTATTCATTATGAATCTCCAAAGAATCCTTCATTTTTCGTAAAAGGTAAACATTTATAGTATCAAAAAAAAAAACCTAAAGAGGATTAAAGGTCGATTATTTATTTTTAGGCAAATGAAATCATGATCTGTGCTAGCTGATAAGTTTATAAATACTTTCGGACCGGTCCGGACCAGACCGGTCCGACGCAATCCTAATATTCTATCTTATTTCCAGCTTTCTTTAATTTAATTCTTTACAATTTTCATTATTTTGCGAATTCAATTTTCGCGTATTGCTGTCGGCACTGTTAACCGGGTCATATTTGAAAAATTGCGTTGTCTCGAGTGACACTAAAGAGAGTGGATCAGTTTGGTCCGGAGGAATGGACAATTAGGTTTGAATTACGCATTTTAAGTGGCACAATTAATTAAAAACTTTTTCGGTAGAAAAGCTTATTGTACTGCATGTACTTGCGCACATCCTCTGTGGAATACGGGAACTTGTTCCAGAAATTTTGTTCTCATGAATGCAGAAGGGCATCCAATAACGAGCCGAGCACTGCAAATAAAGTCGTGAGTGCTGCATGCGTGTGTTGCGCACCTGAATGAATTCCCTATCTGATTTCATAAAAGGGGAAGACGGGAGCAATATGTAATCGAATTGAATTGAATTTCAAATTTCATACGTACGTGTGGATTCTATACTCCGAATTTCGGAATCATGTCTTTGCAAAACAAACCCCCTTAGATGAGCTCATGCTAATCATTTGTGTGTCGATCAATTTACGTATATAAGAACAAGCTTAAATTTTTTTCTTTTTTTTTTTTTTTTTCTGTAGCCCCCCCCCCAAAAAATTTGTAAACATGTTCAAAAGAAAGTCCGTAGCAAACAATAACCTACCGAGGTCAAAATCCCCCAATAGCAAGCGTAATTCGATTACGTCACCAAGGTTCTATGAGATTCTTGATTATTTCGCTTCGAGAATGAATGGTAGTTATTGTTTCTTTGATTATCAAATCCCGAAATTAAATACATTCTATTGAAATCTGAAGTCGATGATAAAATTCCTTAGTTCCCATGCAATTTGGCACCTTTATGAAAAAACGTCTCAACAAGGATGAAATATCCAATCCTAGAAACTTTGAGTGAGTCCCCCGTTCATATTGTAATAAGAAATGATTGAGCTATTATTTACACACTTTGAACGACAGACACCTAATACACACTGAAAGTGAGGAGCAAGCACAAGAAGCATTGGAATATTGGAACTTGAATCATACTGTCAAAAATATGCCAGGTAGATAATATATATTTCGATATTCTTTATTTAATTTGTTTCTAATTATTTTTGACCATCGCAGGAGGAAATGATGATGCCTTGTTTGGAGGGAACGGTTCTGGTACCGTTGTCATCAAGAATAACGAAGTACGCCAAGAATTGCCATTTTCCAAAGAAATACCGCTGTCTTTGACTACCATCGAAAAATCTGTCGCGGCAAAAGTTTATCTTGAAAATTATTTTTACGACATTCTCAAGAAACCTTCGGGACGAGCCAAAAGACGTTTGCAACTTGAAGCCGAACTTGACGAAATGTCATTACCAGATCAAGATAAGCGGGAAATTAGACAAGAGTGGCTTAACCTTGAGTCTGATTATATGCGCCTTCTACGTAAGAAAATTACGATCAATGCTTTCCATATTATAAAAACAGTTGGCCACGGTGCCTTTGGAGTTGTCAAGCTTGTCCGCGAAAAAAACACGGGTATGCTATATGCTATGAAGATAATGAGAAAGGCCGATATGCTAAAGAAAGGCCAGGAAGGTCACATACGTGCCGAACGAGATCTTTTAACAGCTGCGGCGGAATCGGCTCAATGGATCGTCAAGTTGATTTATTCTTTCCAGGATGCCGATCATCTATACCTTGTTATGGAATATATGCCCGGCGGTGATCTATTAAATTTGCTTATTGAAAAAGACATTTTTGAGGAAAATTTTGCGAAATTCTATGTGGCAGAAATGGTATTGTGTATCGAGGAAGCGCACAAAATGGGCTACATTCATCGGGATATTAAAGTACATATTAATTTGGATTTAGTTTTAATTGTTTCACTTCATCTCGAATAATTACGAACATCTGAATCTATAATTTCTTTCGTAGCCAGATAACTTTCTCTTCGACAAAGATGGACATATAAAACTTTCGGATTTCGGTTTGGCCACTGATTTTCATTGGGCTCATGATTCTGCCTATTATGATCAACAACGCCGAGATCTTTTGCGTAAGACAGGCGTTGACGTCGAAATCGATACGCTTTCAAGAGAGATGAGCAAGAAATACCGAACATCCAAGTGGGCAGATCAGTGGCCCGACGAGGGGTCGGACGATGATGTTCCTAACTCTCGTGTTTTAACTTGGAGGGATAGACATCGTAAAAGGATGGCCTTTTCTGTTGTGGGTACCAACAACTACATGGCGCCAGAAATTTTGAGGGGAGCCGGTTATGATTATAGTTGTGACTGGTTAGTCGCTGCTCAAGTGTTTTCTTAAAGTTCTTCTTAAATTTCGAATGCATTTTAACGTGAAAACATTTCTTCTTCTGAAATTATTAGGTGGAGTCTGGGTGTAAGTATTTTGTCATTGAATAGTAAAAATTCCTCAAATCTTGTGCTAATCTAAGACCGGATCTATTTTTTTTTTTTAGGTCATCATTTTTGAAATGTTATATGGCTTTCCACCATTCAGCAGCAAATCCCGTCATACTACTCGTTTGAAAATTATTAATTGGCGAACAAGTCTAAGATTTCCTTCTAGACCTCGTGTGTCTCGTGAAGGTAAGATAAAATGGAATTAAATGAAATGAAGAAAAAAATCATTAACTTGTTAACATATTTTGCTTTTTACATGCAGCTCAAGACCTAATGGAGCGCCTTATGTGCGAAAAGGAAGATCGCCTTGATTCTCAAGGGTCTGCCTTAAATAGGCCCAATAAACTATATGTTGCAAACAGGAAATCTGCGGTATTGGGTTTAGGGGATGCGTCGGCAATTAAGTCGCATCCGTGGTTTAAGGGTATAGACTGGAACAACCTACACACAATGACGCCGCCATTCGTACCCCATTTGAAGAACGAGATAGACACAAGGTATTTTGAAGAGGATATTGACGACAATCCGCTGGCTCCACCGGACGGTGAAAGAAAACCGAGGGATCCCATGCTGAGGGATAAACATCATGGAAAGGAAATATTGAATATGCGGAAAACATTGGCATTTGTTGGGTATACGTACAAAGGGTTGCCAACCGAGAATCGTCGTGGAAGTATGGCAGAAAGAGTTCGAGGGAGATCGGTGTTTAGAAATGTCGAGGAGGAAGGAAGTTTGAGACTTCGATCTATGAGTCTATAGGCCATTTCTTGGAAAACAGACTAAAAAATTTAATTCGATACGAAAATTTTCTAGATTTATAATGTCTCCCTCCCAAAGAATTACAATATTATTTTCGACTATAATTATTATTTTTTGTATATATCTTCATTCAGCTTGTAAATTTCTCTTGTATTATTTCAGGATGTAATTTTACTGTATAATCATTTCTTTAGGATGTAAAATTATACGTACTGTATTTATTAGGGACGTGATTTTTCTCTTTTTATTTAAGATAATTCATTTAATGCGATAATTATCACTCGGGATCTCCTTTTTTGGATTGGTTTTCTAAAGTTTGATTTTTGAAAGTTAATTTTTCAATTAAATCTATGCGTCTTTCTTTAGTATTATTATAACGTTTACTTCGACAATTTAAGGTGAAAAATGTTTAAAAATTAAAAGCCGACCTTCTGCCTTTTACATCAGAATTTTTTAAATTGGCCTAGCCGTCCTTTTCAACATGTAACATCCAATCTGTATTGTTTTTACCGTCCACGATTTCTTGGATACCATGAAAAAATGTGAATGGTTATAATTATGCGCGACATTTCCTCTGCCGGTTATGCTATTACGACCTTACCCCCGGTAATAATGATTCAAGTCATTATACACGCTGTCAAGTAAGAATACCAAGTGTAATTATGGTCAGTGTCCGAAGAAGAATTTCGTTTGTTCATCACGGCGGCGGCAAACTTCGGACCATCCGATCCAAAAAATCGAAGTATTCGAACCCTACCACGGACCCTCCCATTTCGGAAACATAGGATTCACCTTTTAAGCAATAACGATAATAAATCATTTAATCATATATCGTAAATCTTTATATTTTATTAAACATCCAATACATAAACTTTTGTAAAATACAGTAATTATTATTATCCTTTATAATAATAATTTCTTAAAAATTTACAAAGGTTAATTTGGAAGGCGAGGTACTGTATATTTCATTTGATCGTACTTATTATTAGTGGTTTATGCGAATTCACATTTAATTTGATTATATCCTGTCCAACAATTAAACCGTCACTCTGTTTCTGTGTTTAAATGAATAAAGTAGAGCAGAGGGTAAATTGTGAAAAGGTGACGGTGAATTCGTCGTTTCAGCCATTACCAACTAACGTGATGATGTTGACACAGATGCAGATGCAGGTTATCGATTTGGGGACTACAGTTTCAATTTTAGGGCATCTATTTCGGAAATAGCTTCCAATGAAGTACAGTATTTAGATAGCGAGTTTCCTGCAATTCCCTCTTTCTCCAACGATTCGCTTTTTCGTTGGAACTTGAGGAAATGGCTTTACATAGCAAAGATGTTCTCACCAATATAATTAATAGATACGCACCAATTCCCCTGGGCGCTGATTTATCTGATTTTACAGAAAACGAAAAGATTGCGCTTTCCAAATTGGTCGATGCCGGAAAATTGATTGAAAGGTACCCCCCGAAAGCGCCTGTTATTTCTTGTAAGAAAGACTCTGTGATACTTACCTCAACGTCTCTTTCTCTTGATTTTGATATTATACTGTAAAATGAAGAATCTACGTCCGTCAAAAGTGGAAAGGTAACGAAGCTCTTCATGACCAACTGCGCAATTCCACTCCACACGACGAAAAAGCCTTGATGGTATTTAACTTGCTGAAAGGGCCATGGGATCGCGTTGATGGCCTGGTCTTTCATAACCTTCCAAACATCCCTCCTCACAAACCAGAGGGAGGAAATTTCTATCCCGAAGATATGAGCAAAGAGGAATTTGAATCATGGGTCAAAACACTTCCAGAGGAGCAACAGAAAAAGGCCAAAGGATTCTATCATGTTGTTAGGAGAAGGGAGGAGGATAGTGGTGAGGGTAAAAAAGGCGAACTGTGTCTGAAACCTTATTCCGAAGAGTATAACGATTTGTTGGTTGAAGCTTCAAAATTGTTGAGAGAATCCTCGGAATTGGTCCACGATGAATCATTGAGTACATTCCTGAGAACCCGAGCGGATTCATTCCTGAGCAATGAGTATTTGAACAGTGAGATTGATTGGTTGAACATTAGCAAGGAAAGCCGCATCGAAGGTGAACAAAGAACAACAGCATCATCATCCCGAGTCTCCATGACGCCTCGATTAACATTAAAATTTGTTCGCTCTAGTCACCGTGGGACCTTACGAAGTCTACACTGATGAATTATTTTCTATTAAAAGCGCTTTCGAATTTTATATTCATGCTCGCGATTTTCCGTTTTCCAAGACCTTGGAAAAATTTTCGTCAAGCTTACAAGAGGTAGAAGATAGTTTGCCGGTACCAGATGAGTACAAGAGCAAGGATTTAAAGGCCACACCGATTATCGTGGTGAATCAATTGTTCGCGGCTGGTGATGTAGCAGGTATAACGATTATAGTCACATGCCTACTTCACATCTCTTCGTGACATTACAACGAAATTATTTTTTATTGGTAGTACCAATGACCGCCGCCTATAACTTACCCAATGATGTAAGGTATTTAAAATATTTACATAGTTTTATAAGAGGTTCTACTCGTTAACGCGCATTTTGTTGTTCAGGAAGAAGCCATTAAGCGCGGAGGATCCAAATTGGTTATCATCAAAAATGTACAAGAGGGTAACTTTCAAATCCTGAATTTATATTCTACCATATCAAAACCCATAATTATTACGAACCCGCACTAGGAAAATATCAAAATATCCTGGATCCAATTGCGAAATCCGTAATTGCGCTCGACCAACTTCGGTATTTGTCATTCGACGCGTTCTTTGTAAGGCACATTGTTTTTTCTGATTAGCCGTGAATCGAGGGCATCAAATTTAACAAAAGTTTCTCGCGAATCAAACGCGTTAGACGCACGTTCTTCTTCACGAGGTTGCACACTCCAATGGTCCACATTACACGATCGGTCCTCATCCGGTTACGGTCAGGTCGCGCTTACAGGAATATCATTCGGCGATCGAAGAAGCGAAAGCCGGTAAATTTATCACATTGTTCTTTTGTTTTCCGTTGAGAGTCAGTTAATTCTAATCAAATAAGTCTATCGACATGCCCAGATATAACTGGTTTATATGCTGCAGCTCATTTACTGAAGACCGGCCTCTTGACTGCCCCCTCTATAGAACAATTTTATGTTACCTATCTTGCTTCCGCTTTCAGGTCCATTAGATTTGGAATTAAAGAGGTAATGACCGGGGCGTTTTTTTTTTTTTTTTTTTTGATCAACAACTCACGATTTTGCAGGCACATGGATTAGGTCAGTGTATACAGTTGAATTACATTCTCTCTCAAGGCGGATTTGCCTATGATCCTACCACGTTGCGTTTCAGCGTAAACTTCGCCTCCGCAGCATCCGCGGTGTCCAACCTGACCCGCGAGATTTTGATAATGCAAGGGGATGGTGACAAGGGCCGTGTCAAGGAATTCATAGATAAATATGGAAGCATCAGAAAGGAAGTCAAGGAAACTTTGGAAAGGTTGGAAAATGAAGGAATACCTATCGACGTTAGACCCCTCTATGAAATTTCCAAAGAATTGAATTTAACCTTATAACTGCTCCCCTACGGCGGCTCAATATTTCATGTGGTTTAAATAAATGTTAACAAATGTCGGTTGCACATTCTTGATCATACCTACGTGTTACTGAACTAAGTATAAGGAGTCATTTGATAACTTGCCCAATCACCTATCTCAACAATTGATTATTTATCTGAGGGAACACCGCCTTAATAGAAACCAAATCGAACAGTCATTTAAGAAGGGTGGGCTTTGGATCAATTAATAAATCACCCAAATAATTGTTCATCAATTAAATTTGTGGGAATTGATATATTTGATATCAGATATGTGCAAATAAAATTTCATGCAATCGGTAGAATTTTTCTCACCCGGATTTCACCGCACACTTGGGATTCGTTTCGATTTGCAGGAAGACCGCATACATCATGGTCCATTCAAATCTACCGGACGAACTCTTTCTATACATCATTTGCTACGTGTTTGAGGAGACAAGGTTGAAATTTCAAATAAACAAATAATAAAGTCGTTTTGCACACCCAAGGCGGTTGGTTGATCACGGATACCAAGTTAACTATCCGATAGTTTCAAGTTTTTGGTCAGGTTACGGCGTACCTGTAGGAAGTGGAATAGAATAATAAGGGCCATTATTGATGATCAATTGTCTCAAAAGATTCAAGAAGGATATATTTTGGTAGAAGTTATTCTCTGTCCACTTTACATTCAATCTTTAACCTAATTCATTCCTTCTTTGCTGGCTCACTTATAGGTAGGCCCGGTTCAGTTCCCGCCAGGGGAAAGATTAGATTTAGGTGCACCTGTATACAACGATAAAAGAAAGATCCTATCTTTCGGGAGTGGCTCTTCGTTTTGCTCGCCCATATTTTGGTATCCAAGCCAAAAATGTTTTCGCGTAGATTTATACTGGAAAAATTATAACGTCACACAATTGGTGATTGATAATTTTGATGGTTCCTTGCTGAAGATTGGGCGAAACAGTGACGGGGAGATAAGTATGAGATTTCATCGAGATGGTTCGTTTGAAATTACAAACCTGGAAGTAAAAGTCATAAAATTCTTTGTCTTGTATGATTTGCTGAAGGGAATGGATCTTTGTTAGGATGGCGAACTGGTTGCAGGAGGGGTTTTCTTGTTGGTGAATGGTTCCATTAAGAAAGCAGATATGATATGACAAATTCCCCTCCAAAAACAAAACAAAAAAAAAGTAAATTAAAGGCTACGATTTGTGGCTAGTTTAATTAGCAATTCCAAAATAAATGAACCACCTCTTCTGTGTGTCAACGTGATCAGCGACGTCATGTGCTTACCTTGCGTCTTTATCCTAGCATTAGTCTCGTCGTATGGTGCAAATATTTAAGCGTGTCTGGTGGTGGACCATACCTACCATTGAAACTTTAACCAATTCCATTATTACCTTGCGTCATTTCATCTCTTTCATACTTCTTAAGTCATCCTTTCCGTCGGCAGTATGCTCGCATCAAGAAAAAAAGATTGTAATATGCACCGTCACAAACATTGTGCCCAATTTTTTTCGTATGATTATTTGTATTGTTTATCATAGTGCACGTCAAGGTGCCACTCCCGGTTAATCCAACAGATTTCGAAACCTCATAATGAGTTCTTAATACGTATACAAATCACCTCACGGGCAATGTACCATACGTTGAGTTCGGAATACGATAACGAAATGACATTATCTGGAGTTTAATTACAATATCGATTATGCAAACATCATCTTAATAATGTTTTTTTTTTTTTTTACTTCCTTTGCGAGTCACAAATCACTGACTCAACGTTTGAATCCACAAATGTATACGTCGTCATCTGTGATTGAATAATAATATCTCGAGTATACTCACCACGTTTCTTCGTCGTGTCCGTCGCACTAAGAATTGGAACAATGTGATGACCGAATAATCAAGGATTATTGAATAAAGTTTCGTTTCGACACAATATCTGTCACGATTCTTCACTGACATCAACGAATTACATGTATAAGCAATTCGCGATACTCTCTAGGGAAACAGTATATAAATGGTTCGCCACTACCTTTCCATCACATTCGCAAGTTCACTCTTTATCTGAAACCTTAAATCTTTCTTGGATGAAGAATACTTCGAAAGTGAATAAATAAAACTTTCACCTCACCTTATTTAAATTATCGCCATCAAAAACTTTACTGATGTTATTCGCCTGTTCGTTTTGTTCTAGTGGGTCTCGAGGAAAATTTTGGTCAATTTAGCATCACGGAGAAAGACGAGAACCTTAAAATGGCAAAAAGACCTGATTATGGAAAACAAGGTCGCGTTGTTCGTCTGAAGAGCAACTACTTCAAGATCTCTAAGGTGAGCCGATCTTTATCTTCTTACGAGGCGAATGGAAATCCATAACATTCTATAATAATAATAATAATAATAATAATTTTTTTTTTTTTAGTTTCCCAGTGTCTCCATATACCATTACAATTTTGATTCTACCCCAAAGGCAAGCAAGGCAATGATCGAACGTATTTACGTTCATGTATCAGGGGAAAACCGTTTCAGTGATTATCACGCGGTTTTTGACGGCAACAGTGCCATCTACTCGGCAACACCTCTCCCTCTTGAGAATGAGCGTAGAGGAACTCGGTTCACGGTATTCAACGTTCGATATTTGAGCCTCCGCAATTTTGCAAATCGTGAAAAAGAAATGTAAAGTTCCATTTAACAATCAGGTGAATCTCACGGGAAGAAATGGTGAGACTTCAAAGGACGGCTCGTATAACGTCACGATTCGGTTCATCCAGCTGTTGAACCTTGATGAACTAAAAAGGCATATATCCGGCGGAAGTGTCTCTCCTAATGAAGTCACGAAGTGCATAACAGCCTTGAATACGTACATCAACTACTCGGTTCGTCAAAGATACCTGACCGTTGGTCGAGCCATCTATCCTGATGATCCACGCGGAAGGCCCATTATTTTATCCAGGGGGTTCGAGTTGAAAAAAGGCTTTTATCAATCGTTGAGACCGGGAACAAGTAAACGCGAGAAACTCATCTGACTTTCTTTCACAATTCTTGCTTGCTGATTCTATTTTTTTTTGTATTGATATCGCAACAGATTGCTTGGCCATCAATGTGGATGTTTGTGTTGGCGTTTTCTATGCTGAAGACAATGTTTTGAATGTCGCATGTGGAATACTTGGAAAGCGCAGTAAAGATGAATTTCGTCGGGGAATGACCGAAATAGAAAGAATAATATTGCTCAGGGTATGCGTTAATCGTGTGTTCGCGAATGCCCTCGACTTCCTACCACTCCCTCACTGTTAATTTGAAATCAATCACACCATTCGCACGTAGCATCTGAGGGGACTAAAGATTCGGGTCACACACCAGAAACAACGAAAACCTGTTTATACCATTAAGAACCTTTCCACGGATTCGGCCAGTGGGATATTTTTTCATCATGAAAAAGAAGATAGAGAGGTCTCTGTTGCTGAATACTTTCATCTCACCTACGGAAGAAAGTTGGAATTCGAGGGATTGCCATGCATCAAAGTCAACAAAGACGTCTTTTTACCCTTCGAAGTATGTGAAGTGCTTAAAGGTAGATAATTGTAGCACATTATTTCTTACATTCAAGTATTATTCACCCAAGATTTTCATGTGTAGGTCAACGATCAGATGGTTCCCTTCCCGACACGACGTTAGCCGATGTGATAAAACACGCATGCATCAAACCGAGGGAGAGGTTTGATCGTATTCTCCATTCTGTTCGAGAGATCTTTCGATATAACGGGGATCCTTTTCTGAAATCCATCGGCATGGGTGTGGAACCTTGTAGCATGTTGGTCGAAGGTAATCTCTCAATCGTCGACATCATTGCTCAATCATCAACTCAAATGCCGATAATTTTCATTTACGCATTTCTCGATTGAAGGACACGTTCTCCAACCACCGGTTTTGGAATACCACCCTAAAAGTGTGAACCCGGTATTCACTCCCGAAGCTGGTCGTTGGAATATCACGAATAAAGTTGTAGCTCTGGTAAGATTTCTGCTTACGTTTGACGGTTGGTGCGATCACATGGAAACCGATATTTTTTTTCATTTTTACAGGGAAAGAAACTTCAAAATTGGTCGGTGTTAGTCTACGCCAATGAGAAAAATCATCCCAAACCAATTGTCCGATGTTTTATGCAAAAATTTCGAGAGGTCGCCAATCAGAAAGGCATAGTATGTATAATATTAGAATATTTAAGAAGATAATATCATCATTCTCCATTAATCAATACACCACGATACACATTGAAAGTGTGTGGTCAATGAACCCAAAATATATTATTCCAATCCGAACGGCGAAGTTCACAAGGTAACGTTGACTCGACTGAAATATTAACGTTTGATGATTCACAATTTTAACGCGAAAAAAATTTAAATCCCAAGTCATTTTACCAAGCATGCTGCCTCTCGAGATTCAACAAAGACCTACCACCCCAGTTGATATTTTGCATAGTGGAGCGTGTTAGCCCCCTGTACGGAGAGATAAAGCGTATCGGGGATACCGAATTAGGCGTTCCTACGCAAGTGATGTTGGCCAAACAATTGTCTAGAAACAGCATCGATCAGCTATGCGCAAATGTTGCCCTGAAAGTGAACGTCAAATTGGGGGGACAAAATTACTTCCTATCCAAAGGCCAACTTGGCTTTGTATCCGAAGTTCCGGTATGCATTCGCCTACTTTCTCTCACGATCTACGTGTCCTATTTTCTGTGCTGTCCCTTAACATGTATTGTCACGTTGTCCACGTGAAGACGATGATATTTGGTGCGGACGTGTACCATTCGGGTCGAGGCGAAAATAAACCCAGTATTGCGGCAGTTTGCAGTTCTATGGACATAGACGCTACCGAATACTGCAGTAGATATAGTAAAAACAAGGAGTCACGAAATGAGACGATTGAAAACCTCCAGGAGATGGTTGACGACTTGTTGCACGCTTTCTGGGAAAGGAATGACACCCTTCCTCAGCGGATCCTCTTCTATAGAGACGGTGTGGCCGAAGGACAATTCGAGCATGTCCTGCATGATGAAGTGAAGGTGTTAAAGGCGTGCTTCGAGAATTGCTATAAGAAGGGGTTCGAACCGAAGCTTACATTTGTGATCGTTCAAAAAAGGCATCATACCAGGCGAGTCACTCTTTCTTTCTTGGTCACACCTAGTGTACACCGGTCTCTCATCATTTTGCACGATTGACGTATAGGTTTATGCCGAGCGAACCTCGGGATGGAGATAAAAATGGAAATTGTCCTCCGGGAACCATCGTTGACAATTCCATCCTCGTCCCTCAAGAGTTTGGCTTCTGTATGTTGTCTCTTTCTTTATTACCGCGAATCTTCTTGCTCACATTACCAACATGAATTACCGTTATCATTATAATTCAGACCTTCAGCCTCATAACGTGTTGCAAGGTACCGGACGCCCGATCCGCTATAATGTTCTTTATGATGAAAACAACTTCACTGCCGACGGAATACAGGCATTAACTCACAAGCTCTGTTATCTCTCCTCAAGGTTTGCCTGGTGATAAAATGTGCGTGGTTAACCTTACTTGGATTTTAAATTTCGCATCCTTCTAATTCCTCGCAGGTGCAATCTCGCCATCTCTCTCGTTCCGCCCGTTTATTACGCTCACCTGATGGCCAATCGTGCGAAGCACTATATGCAGTGTAGGGGTTCCAGGTCAGAAAAAAATGAACATAGTAATAGTAATAACAGTAATTCGTATACCATTAGGAACGTCAGGAGTGAGTTGGAAAACACCATGTATTTTATTTAAAAGGTCTTCCTCGAGAAGATTAATTTTATTGTCAAAGCAATTCAATTGTCAATATGGTAGATGGTGCAAATAAGTAGATAAATGCAGTACTGTATTTAAATATCTAATAAAACAAACACGCATCTAAACTGATTACGTAATTCTCAAGTCGCGAGTGGTGAAGGGAGGGATTTTGGATAAGTAATGCGCCGTGTATACCACGAAATTACCGCGAAATGTTGTTACCCTCAATGCGCTTATTCTGAGGCAATTCATATAAGATTCAACGATGTACTGTATACAGTATTCACGTACTGTGTGCTGACATATATTTATTGAACATTTAGGGAAAAGTATTTCGTTAATAAAAAGAGCTGGATCTACCGTTGTCACAATACTTTTCAAGGACGAAATTTTAATGAAATGGGGGGAATAGAAGAATTAAGAAAAATATAAGAGTACTTTTGGTATGCGAGTTTGGTTAAAATTAGTCTAAGGAAACCCAAAAAACCGATGACGTCTCTCTATATCAATGCAAAAGATGCTACAAAATCCCAATGTCAATGTGTGAAAAAAAAAGAAGTATATGTATGCGTGTAAGGAAATCAAAGAATTGGGGAGTATGAATTATTTTAATATTATGAAAAAGGATGTTTTTAAAATGTGGTGATTCTTAGAATATGTAAAGTAGGAAAAAAAAAATCGTTATGCAGAATAAGTTTTGTGAAAAAAAAAAGAAGGAAAAAAAAGGGGGGAAACTATTTGGGACTTTATGCAAGAAACAATAATAATAGTGATGATGCAACCCACAAGATAATTAAAACCCGATTAACAATCATCGTTCCACTGAATTCCTCCACTCACTCGAAAACCATACTCAACGGAAATTAATCGCTTATCCTCTTAACAGGTTGATCGCCAAATATAAATCTGGACATATACTTTGCGGCCTTCTGAGCGCCATCATCCCGAGACAATGGATAGACGATAGCGTAGTTGTGCACATTATTTTCTTCGACCACAATTTCAGCTTGAACATCTTGACTTCTCGCTTTCTCAACGAAAAGTTTGATATCGTCGAGGAATAGTTCATAACCACCGACACATACCCACGTACGAGGCAACCCTTCGAGGCGACGCTCAAGCAGCGGTGAGATCATGGGGCATGTGGGAAGGAGGTTTGTGTTGTAAATATAGTTTTCAAGACATAAATCGAACCACTGGGTGCTCAGGCAATCGTAGTCCTCGTTGAATTTGAAGGATTTGGAAGTTTTGAGGGCCTACAAGACAAAGATTTGATTGGATATCAGTTTGAGCGTGCGATAGACTTTTGTGACAGTAGGAATTAACGTACCGTTAATACGGGCGATATAAGTAAAAGACGCGAAGGCTGAGGAACCGAGTATTTACTAGGATTGTTCGTAAGTTCCAAGGATGCAACTACCGCCAGATTTCCACCCGCACTGTCGCCAGCTATTAATTTAAAAAATTCAATCGTTTGTAAAGGATATATGCTGCATATTACGATCGCAAAAAAAATAAAAACATACCGAAAGCAATTTTGGACGGATCGAGTCCCTTCTCGACAACTAGAGTATGGTAGCATTGTAACAATGTATCTCTTGCAACCGGGAATGAGTGCTCAGGTGATAAGGCTAAGCAAAAAAGGGTTAGTTGCTAATCAACACATCGTTAAACCGGCTTCACGTAACAAAGAGGACACTATAGTCACCATATTCGAGAGACACGATATGAGTTTTGGCACCATGGCTACTCTTCCAAGTTTTAATCCAATCAACAAATACAACAAGGGAAACCAAAGCTCCGCCACAAACAAAGCCACCGCCTATTGACAGATTTTTATCAATCGGAGTGTGAAATAATATCGAAAAAACAGCATTCCTTGTGAAATTTACCATGGGCATAGATAACGACTAAATCAGCGCCGTCTCCGATCTCTGCTGTTTCCGCATCTTCACCGATCAAATACCCTTTCCATCCAGGGCCAGACACCGAACGACACCACTGCTTTCTCAATTTGCCGAAGAACAATCCATTGATCACCTGTTCGCATACGCCCGACAGATGAAATAGAAACCTCAACATCCATAACGGTAATGTATCGCAAAGGGACTTGAGAATGGCGGAAATGAACAGTTGACGTAAATCGGGCTGGGCATGCTTTTTCTTGTCTATTTTACCGGCGACGTATAATAGGAATGCGTAGGGTATGCGATGGCCTTCCATTTATGTGAATCAATAAAAGTTTAGAAGTTGAATTCAATTTGATGATCAGACACCACTGCGAGAAAGAATACTTACATAGTAGGATCGCGCAGTAGGTTATCGCGAATAGCACATTCATAGTTTCTATGAATTCGGAAAAGTGAATATTATCGATTTCTGCTAACATGCTATTGTCAAGATGAAATAAAGGAAGCAATAGTTACCTTTTTTTAAAGGTTTTTTTTTTTTTGGACAGCTAGTCTTAATGTGTATGACTATCAGATCGATTTTCATCGAGTTCTTTATATACTCCCCCCGAAAACCTCTCAAGACTTTGCTGACATGTGAAAGACACAATATAAATATCAAACATATCAGGTTTTTAACATATTGATTTTTTTCATATTTGCAAAGTCTGTGTTATCCGGGTAATCGCTTCAATAAAGTGAATGTAACCGTCAATGTTTCACATGTCTATTGGGAATCTCGTTAATTGTTGTACATCCCCAGAGTTCTAGTTTTACGCTTTCCTTTTTCAGAAAATTCAAAGAGGCATCGGAAAAATCCTCCGTCGCTGAGACAATTTCTCGACGAAAAGCCCTTTGTAACCGCATTCAAGTCTCGAGAGGATCTTAATACGCATACATACTAAGTACAGTATATTGTTCATTGTATTTGTGTTTTTAAAGAAAATTTCTCTGTACACATTATCATCGCGCGATTGAATGCGCATTATGCTGTAAATGCACCATTACATCGCAAATTATTTATAGTAGGCAAACGCCCAAATCATTATTACGTATATCTATGTACAGTAAGTGCGTACTACATAATAGTTAAATGCGGAGAAGAAACTTGTGCTTACGTATATCCAGTAAGTGATTTACGGCGATAAGATAAAACTTGAAACGCAACCCGTATCCTCCTTTTATGACCCGCTATTGCTTTGGCACGCAAATCATTTAATCGCTTTCATTCTTTTTCATTTTGTTGACTTTTACGGAATGTCATTCCCACGTATGACGTTTCTGGACTTTAATGAAATGTGTTACCTAGCGACAATAATGATTATTCAATGTGAAAATAGGGTGCGTCATGCACTTGTTTACGTGCGTGCATGCGTTTACGTCCCTTACACGTTACGTCATAATGGATTTCGAGCTTCCTTTGAACAATCGGAGCGATTACAAACTTCAGTACACAAAAGTCTCCTTACTTGCTCACGTAGACTTCAAATAGGTCAAGCCTACTTGCCAAATTTGTGTCTTTCGTTGCTGAATCGGACATATGTATTTGGTTTCAGTATTTAGCTATAAGAAAACTATTCACATGTTGATGCTTTTCTAAATACTTTCACCTCAAAACACTATATATTATTATTTTCGTAAGAATACAAAAGATTGCCAAATGTCGTGCAACTAAATCGGCTTATCACTTCCTATGGAATCGGACACATACTGTGCAACTTCATAGAAGTTGGTTGGTTTATACTCGGAGTATCAATCAAAATTAGACTAGCACTAACCAAGAGGAATGATTGGTTGCTTTGGATTTTTAAATTACAGTTAGAATCGTTTGATTTTTGGCTATGCGAATTTTAACCTATTGTTAACTATTAAGTCTACTTAACCTTATTCGTCTAAACCGATATGTTTACAAAAGTTAACTGGTAATCTGGTTATCCCGATTGAGCAACGGCTATCACAAAGGGTTCTGTATGCGCATGACACATTCCTGTAAATTTCCTCCATTTTTAGCCAGTTGGAGAAGGCTGTTCAATTCGAAGGAAAAAAATGGCTGTGTATGAAAAAATCTTGAAGATTTCAAATTTTCAGCCCCCCTTGAGTATCGATATTCCTGCAAAGAAAGAATTCAAGTAAGGGTTTAATCAAATCTCAAGTTGTATACATTGAAATTGATAAATTCAAATAAAGACTAGCTAGTTATTTATTGCAGAATATTCAAGAGACCTAAGAGATTCAAGTAAACAAATGATCTATTTTTACAAGTATATAAGTAGTAGTAATTCACTTAAAAGTAAATAAGTTTGTAGAAATATTTGTTGGATTTTGAAAAAATTGTACAGTATATCTTCCGTTGATATTAAAACTAAAGAAATTGGTTTTTTTTTTTCTTGATTTATTAATAAACTGGAGATTTTAAATTAATCATATTTCTTTTGAAATATTATGTAATATTGTTTAAAGAAATTCTAAAGAATTATTTTTAAATATTTATTTATTAAAATCACTTTTTAAATTCTTTGAGAGGAGAATTGTCTTTTTAAAAACAATTTCACTTGAATATATTGATCTTATTTTAATGATAATTACAGGATTTCACTCTTCAAAAGAATATTGAAACAAGACTTTACTCTTCAACAATAATATTTGAATAAATAATGAATTTATTAATTGAATTTTAAAAATATTGTTAGATTTTGAAACTATTTATTTCAAATAGTCTCTTAATATTTTATGATTTTCTTTTCTAATATATTTTTTAAATATTTTTTATTATAATCTATATAACTTAATTTATTTGTTATTTGTGATACTTTCAATCAATTCTTTACTATCATCATATATTTACTAATAGATAAAATTCTTAAAATTAAGCAATCTATTCTTATAATTTATATCAATCTTGAAATATACTGTATATTCATTATAAGATCAAAAAAAAAAAGAAAATAATAAATAAAAAAATATAATGATAATAACTTAAAAAACAATAAATATATTATAAAAAAAAATAAATTAAATCAAAGATAAAAAATAAATAAATAAATAAAAAAAACATATTTTGTTGATTTTTCGTTCTTTTAAAATTTTTATTTTTTGTTAATTTTTTGAAATAGTCTAAATATAAGAAAGAAAATAAATCCTCCAAATCAAGATATTAAAATATATATAACAAATAAACTATTTAAAAATATTAAAGAATAGAGATATATATTACTTATTAACTATTATTTCATATATTTTTTTCTTAAAATCTTTAAGGAAAAAAATCATAAAAATCAATTTATAGTTAAAAAAAGAAAATTAAAAAAACTTTATACAAGCTTATAACTAGTTCAATATAAATTAACACTTTTTTGATATTGCAAGAAATTTAAAAAGCAACCAAGCTTATCTAATAAATCAAGTTGCTTCAGTTACTCAAAGATTTAAAAGAATATCAAAACTTTCTAAAGACAAAATAATTTAAACATATATATACAGTATTGTATATACTAACAACATACTTATTTTTATTTTGTTATATAAATATGAACATGTAAAAAGTAGATAAACAAAACAAATATACATATAAAAGTCATAAAAAATATATATGTATATATATAACTTATAGTTTAAATAAATTGATCTAAATATGACAACAATTCTTAAAATTAGAATAGAATCATTAATACAAGTAAATAAATATATTAAAACAATATAACAAAATTTTTTCATATTATTTAATTAAATATACATAAACAATAACAACTTCAGAAAGATTTATTTGTAGCTTAAATATAGATTATTGATAAATATAAATAAGTAGTTATATAATTTATAGATAAATCTAAGTTAATAGCAAATATAAATAGAATATAATGTATATTATAAATAATAAATAAGGAAAAAAAGAATATAATAAATATTCCAATTAATATTTTAATAAAATATAATGAACAATTTACTCTATAGACCTTACAATAATTACTATAATAAAAAAATAATAATAATAAATTCAATAGAGTAGTAACTTTATTATTAGAAACATATTGTATAATATTCTAAATAGCATTATAATCAAAATATTATTAATTAATATAACAACTTTTTACAAGAAACAAATTCTAATTTAATCTATCACATATCTTTGACAGTAATATAAAGAAATAAAATAAGATTTTTTATAATTCTATATTGAAAATAAGTTCATAGAAATTATCAAGAATCCTGAAAACTAATACAAACTATAATGATAATCAATAAAAATTATTGATTAAATAGATATTATCATTATACCTAATCTATAAGTTTCTTTTTTTTATGAAGTAAGAATTTGTTGATAGGATTATATCTCTATTTCTAGTAATATAAAAGCTATATTATAACATATTTTATGTTAAAAAATTATTTTATTATCATATATTTTAGTAAAATAAAAATAAAAAATAATATAATAAAGATATTTATAATAAAATACAATTACTAAATAAGTATATCTATGATACTTCTTATTATTTATTAATAGCAAACACAACTATTACTATAAATCTATTGATGTTTGTTTATATGCTATTAGTCATTCAGGTCTCTTGTTACCTTAGAGCTTTGGAATTGGTGACTAGATTATGGAATTTAAAATATTATATGCTTTAACAAATTATTGATATTTTACAGTCAGAAGTCTAAATCCTTAATTATCTTGAAATTTTATTTAATAATATTTTTTTAGCCTTTAAAAAAATATTTGTCTTATTAAAATATTCATAGTTTTTTAAAATCATTTCAATGGTTGTTATTGAACTTTTAGACATAAAGTTATACTTTTATCAGGTAACTTAGGTAAACTTGTTATATATATTTATTAATACATTGTCTTTTAATTATTTCTTAGAGTTTTTACAATTTCAATTTTTTTATTTTCTGGATATATACTATTGTTACTTTATTGTTTGCTATTGATTCGTCAATATTTTTAAGAGAAACAGAAAATAAAATCAATGCATACTTAGATAACATTCTAAAACTTCTATAAAAAGAAAAAAATTTATTATAAAAAAAGTTATTAATAGAAATAAGTAGTTAATTTTTTGAATATAAGAAGAAGAAGATATCATAAAATATATAGAAGAAGTAAATTAAAAGAATGATAACTTTGTTATTTAAACATATAATATCCTTAACTACATATAATAAATAAAAATAAAAAGAAATTTAGGTAAAAAAATCTTTCAAAAATTCAAAACCAAAGAAGACATTATTATTTGACATATATACTGTATTTAATAGATATAGATT